GACCGGAAGAACTAGATGGTGCCCAGCTACCAATGCCAACCACTCAGGAAAGGATCAAATCTGGAGATCCTGGATTGAGTTGGAAGAAAAGCGTGGAACAAAATCCAGAAACTCAGTAATGACCAGAATTATTGATCGGATGGAGTCTGGTGAGGCCCCCAATACTATGGGAGTCTGGTGAGGCCCCCAATACTATGACCCTGGGAAACATTCTGGGCCTGGAATAAAACTCACTCCCAGGGGCTGGCTCTCAGCCCAATAATAAACAAGATGTACATGCAAACCACTTAATCCAGGGTGACACACCCCCATACTCTATGGAAATGCATTCCTTGGAACAATCGACCACAGGGCACCAAGGGGCAACAGTTGCATGGAGGAAATACAGGACACACAGTAGTGCATAACTGTGAGGGGCACAGGAGTGTGGGGGGGTTACTGGGCAGGGAGGGGAGGAGACTGGGTTAGGGTTGGGGATGGTAAATGGGGAGTGAAACTAAATGTACATGTAATATTGAGTGTAAAACAAACTGCTCTGTAAATTGCAAAAAAAAAAAAAAGATCACAATATTAAATTAAAAAAAAACTAGAATATACAAATGAAGAATGCTTAAAAAAAAAGAACTATGGTCAAGAGAACTTAATGTTAACAGCAGTTATAATCTCTGAAGCATTAACATTAGTAATTAATTAATGAAATTTGAGATATTTTGGTAATAGATCAATTTTTATTTAATGTCCATATTTATGTTATTTATTTTCTATTTTAAAAATCTGAGTTACAAAGTATAAGTATTGAAGTTTCATAAGACAATTTTTTTAAAAAATGCATCTTTACTTGGAAGAAAAAGATTTAACTCCAGTCTTCTTTAATTATGAGTTTTAAAAATATACTTTAATCTGATTTGAGTCAGATGCTTCCCTTCCATCTTACCCTTGCACACAGACACATATTCTTAAAATAATAACTGTATTAACAAGAAATGTTTCTTTGTGTAATTTATTTTGTTTTAGTTGTTGCTAAGAATATATACAGTGGAACATAGACCACTTTAACAATTTCTTCATGTACATTTTAGTGCCATTGATTATATTCTTTATTTCACACCTTTCTTTTCTGACTGTTCCTTCTCCATTAACATAAATTCATTGTCCCCTAAGTTTCCTATCAGATCTTTGAAATTGCTGTTGTCAGTTTGATCCCATGGAGACAGATCTTAAAGAGAACAATGCTCACGGCAGACATTCTTTGCTAGTTAAATTAAACTATGGTTTGGGTTTAAGAAGAAGTCAGGGGATATTTTTGGTTTTAAAGTTTAAAGAGTATCTCAAGGCAATAGTTTTGGGGTTCATCTAGCATCCATAGATGTAGAACTTCTGGATTTCATGAGAATTTGAAGTTCTGTTCTGCATTTCCTCTCTTTTGATGACAATTCTTCAGTAGTCTTTGGTTAGAACATTCAGTAGTGGTTCTGGTCTCATGGCAAAAGTGGCAGTTGAAAATTATCATTTTTACTGTTTAGTTTTAATGTAAGTTAATGTCACTGATGCTGTGGAAAGAATTACGGTTTAGTGAACAGACAGGATTTTTAGAGTCAGGAAGACCAGATTCCACTCCTGGGGGGACACTTACTTGTTATATGACCTTAGGGGGTCTCTTTGTGACAACTCTGTGCCTTGGTGTGGTCATCTGCAGAATGACAATGATGCCTGCTTCACAGCATGTAACGCATGGAATTAAAGCACCTAGCAAAGAGTGTGGTTCAAGGAATATTAGAATTTTTCACTTTCCCCAAGAAAAGTTAAACATTAGTTTATGTACTGGTTAATTATGGGCCTTGGGATTTTCCCTTTTGGCAGCTTTCAGAGAAGAACCAGTCAAGAAAGTCATGATCTAGTCAAGAAATTGCCAAGTGATTGATTTCTCTGGAAAATAATCATTTACTCCCTCCTCTGTTGTACATGCTTTTTCAAACTCTGGTGATGAGGATTGTTGTTGTTGTTGTTATGTGCTGTCGAGTCGGCCCCGACTCATAGCGACCCCTCCTTGGGTTTCCGAGGCAGTATCACTATGGAAGTAGGATTGCCCAACCTTCCTTCCGAGGTGTGGCTGGTGGGTTTGAACCGCCAGCCTTCTGGTTAGCAGTCAAGTGCTTTAGCCACTATGCTACCAGAGCTCCTTGATGATAGAAAGTAAAAAACGAATTTTCTTCTGGGGAGCTCAGTTGTAGGCTTCACTCCTTTGTGTTTTATGGGTCAGTGCAAAAAAGACATGGAAGCCACATCTTCTGACTTCCTCTAATCACACAAGAGGAAGACGAAATCACTATTAGTAACCCAAGACCTATTCCTGCAAGGCCAGACATGCTGCCTCCCTCTAGCCCTCTCACCATCTGTTACTCCCAAAGCACCCACCACCTCTCTCCTGGGTTTGATAATTCACTTCATTGGCCACACAGAATTCACCGTTTACGGGATTTATTAGGGAAGGACCAGGGTACAATTCACGTTCAGGAAAAACACTCAGTCTCTCTTCCAGCCTACCATCCCTCAGCCAACAGTCTAGTCTCTCACAGTCTCTTTCCCAGCAGTGCGTGTCCCTCGGTGTCTCACTCAGCAATATGTGTTTCTTGCATCTCTTTCCCAGCAGTGCCTGTCTCTTGTAGCAGTATGTATCTCTTTCAGCAGCAGGTCTTCCTCAACCAGCAGTCCCAGAGTGTTCTGCCTCTAGGAGGCTTCCTTTTGAGCCCAGCAAGGTGGTCAACCTAGCCAATCATAGCATCAGAACTCTAAGCGCCTGAGGGAGTGGGAACCTCCCAGAACATTGTTTTGTGCCACTCCCAACAGAAATACTCCAGGTGGACAACTTCAGCAATCAGGAGCTCCTCAGTTGCTCATAGGAAATCCCACCTTGGAGTTTACAAAGACTTATGGGTAGAAAGGCCACACTAAGTAATTTACTGCACTGTAGTCAGTAGTGCTAGAGGTCAAATTCCTTCAAATCAACTGCTTTTCTGTGATGGGCATAGAAACAATGTAGCAGGAAGAAAGGAATGTGAAGAGAAAGTGTAACTAGTCAATTAGGATGTCTTTTCCATGCTTTGTGCTTCTTTTTTTTGAACAACTTGATTGATACTAAATTTACATACCATACAATTGACCTATGTAAGGCATACAGTTACATGAGTGTTGGTATAGATGGTTGCACAGTTGAGCAGCTGTCACTACAGTCTAACTGAATACATTTTCTTCACCCCAGAATGAAAGCGCACCTTGTGAATTTCTCATCATTCAGGAACCTCCCATGTCATTGTGTTGTGATGTCATGGGCAAGTGGGTTCTTTATTCCTTCTTATTAGACTCTAACATGCCTTATATTTTATTTAATTACTGATGTCATACCACATCTCCAAAATTTGCATTAACTTACAAAAATATCAGTGGTGGCATAAAAACAAATGGATGAGCATCAAAGAGCAGATGAATATTAGGGTAGAAAAATAAAGCCAAGAATAAAGTGAGTACAGAAATACATGTTTATCATTGCTGCTGCAGATTGCTGGAGGTGGTCTGTTTTGTTCTGAACTTCCTTACCAGTTACCTGCCCAATTGCTATCGAGTCAGTTCTGAGACATGGTAACTCCAAGTGCATCAGAGCAGAACTGTTCCATAGAGTTTAAGACTGACATTTTGGATGCAGCTCGCCAGGTCTTTCTTTTGAGGCACCTCTGGGTGGGTTTGGATTGTTAGCCTTTCGGTAAGTAGTTGAGCATTTAACCATTTGTAGTACCCAGGGACTCCAAAGACGTAACAAAAAGGGAAACATGAACTGTTAGCATTCCCAGTGACATCAAATAGTTACTCTGAGGGAAGAAGCACTTTTCCTGTTATTGAGAATTGCAAGAAATGTTTCTGAGTGAGTGGGATGTGCTGCCAAGACTTCAACAGTAGTCCTACTATATACATTTACTGGAAGGAGTTCTTGTGGTGCAGTGGTTAAAGCATGTGGCTGCTAACCTGAAGGTCAGAGGTTCAAACCCATCAGCTGCTCTATAGGAGAAAGATCAGGCAGTCTGGATCCATAAAGATTTATAGCCTTGGAAACCCTATGGGGCAGTTCTGCTCTGTCGTATAAGCTCTCTATAGATAGACTTGATGGCAGTGAGTATATACATGTACTGCAAGTTTGACTAGATGGCTTCTCATAGGATACCTCAATGCAGAGACACCAAAGCACGTTTCAGTAAAAGTAAGTTACAAGAGGCAAGAAACTTTTTTTTCCCCCAGTCTGGTTTGATCCAAGGATAAAATCTAAAATATCAAAGGAATAATATTTACTACATTTCGTTGTAGTTATATTTTTACATGTGTTTTCCCCGAGAAGGGATCAGCTTCTCACAGGCAGGGACTATGTTTTGCCTCCGTTGTGATTAGTGGTGGAAAATCTTAAGGATGTTTAATATGGAGAACTGTCTATGAGTGTGATTTGCACAGGAATCATCACATGCTTTGTTTTGAGTTATATGCACTCAGAAAGTGAGATTCATGCTTGAGATCCAAGATCTACAATCACATGGTCATAAGCTTTCTTTCCTGGGACTGACCTGCTTCTGAGGTGGTTTGGAGTAGCACATAACACCAGCCGAGTGAAGCGGCAGTAGCAGAATGACTACATCTAGGCCAGACCGCCTCGGGCACTAACTTGAAACAACTATTAATAAATTTAGCAGTCTTGAAAGTTTCCAATTTCATTTTCCCTTTGCCCATTGCATTTGGGACTAAGAATATCTTACATTATTATCATGATTATCAAGTGGGACTCAGAAAAAGTTAAATATATTCATTTTCAAGACAAAAGTAAAAATAGCAAGCTTATGGAAAGACTTCAGTTCCTCCAAAATAGCCATTCTCTCTATAATTTAGGTCAAAATATGTCCTCTGATGAAATTATAACTTTTTTTCCCCTCTCACTGCTGCTTTTTCTTTCTTTTTATACATAGGAACTTGATAAAGAACTCCCTGTGCTTACACCGTATTTTATTGATGAACCTGAGCAAGCTGGAGTGAGGGAAGCTGGCTTGAGAGTGACATGGCTAGGACATGCAACAGTAATGGTGGAAATGGATGAACTCATATTTCTCACTGACCCCGTCTTCAGCCATCGTGCGTCTCCATCGCAGTGCGTGGGTCCAAAACGCTTTCGTCACCCTCCATGCACAATAAGTGACCTCCCCCGGATAGACGCGGTTGTTATCAGTCACAACCACTACGACCACCTGGACTACAATTCTGTCATTGCTCTGAATGAGCGATTCGGTAATGAGTTGAGGTGGTTTGTGCCTTTGGGACTCCTTGACTGGATGCAAAAATGTGGCTGTGAGGATGTGATTGAGCTGGACTGGTGGGAGGAGAATTGTGTTCCCAGTCATGATAATGTCACTTTTGTCTTTACACCTTCCCAGCACTGGTGTAAGAGGACTCTAATGGATGACAATAAGGTTCTGTGGGGCAGCTGGTCTGTCTTGGGGCCTTGGAATAGATTTTTTTTTGCAGGAGATACTGGTTATTGCACTGCTTTTGAAGAGATAGGAAAAAGATTTGGACCTTTTGACCTTGCAGCTATTCCCATTGGAGCTTATGAGCCAAGGTATGTAAAAAAACAAAAGCTGACCTAAAAGAAAATGTTCCTACTACATAATAGCTGATGTTAAAAGTAAAGTAGTTATGATTTTGTGTTACTTATAATTGGTGTTTTTAATGATGGACCTCGTTATACATTGCTTGGGTGTTGGTGAATCAACTTCAGTTAATTAAAAAAATAATAATGATTTCATAACAGTCATATCAATTAAATAATTACTCAAAGTTAGAAATGATACGACCAAGAAAAAAGGGGCAAGGTTTAATAAAGAATTACTGTAGGTAGTCAGAAGTTCACATACATTCCAACTAAGTTAAACTCTCAGCAGTGAGTAATCAGGTCTGACTCTTTTTCTTCCTTTCACATGGAGGATACTTCTTTTATTTACTGCTTTTCTCTGTAACTAAGATGCACTGCTCCTGCTCCTGCAGCATTCCCAGTTTACCAGAGAGAGAAACCCTGGAATAGGCCTGTACCGTGCGTGAGTTCTCAGTGATGGTCTCATTTCAGTCAGCACCAGAGTGAATTTGGCAATGACATTGTTGCGTCACTCACCACTCTCTCTGCAACCTGACTCCTACCTAGTCATCAGGGATCTTCAGAGCGACTGAAGGTCACATTGCCATTTGAGACATAGTAGACCCACCCACCATTCTGCATTTTTCTTATCACTGTCTACTCATGGAGAAGAGATTTCAAAGAATTCAGTTCGATTTCAGTCAACTCTGGTTTATATGTTTAGGTAAAGAGGAAATCAGCACAGAGGGTATGAAAGTCAAGCTTAGTAAAGAAAGAATTTTTATTTTATTCTGCTGTGCAGGCATGGGTGTACACGAATGCATTTTCTGTAGGCATTCTCTGGATAGTGCACATGGCTAACACACTTGACTGCTGACCGAAAGATTGGCAGTTCAAGGCCACCCAAGGGTACCTCAGAAGAAGAGCCTGGAGACCTGCTTCCGCAAAACCAACCATTGAAAGCTCCAGAGCACAGCTGTACTCTGACACGCATGGAGTTGTCATGAGTTAGAAGCGACTCCACTGCAAATGTTTTTTTTTAAGAAGCAGAAGAACATGTTTCCCTACTACTTCGATAAATTGACCAAATCTGATCTTTTATTTGACTTTGTTAGGTTTGTTTAAATATTAATTTTTTAAGTTCACCAAAACTGTTTCTTCCCTAACTTTATTAATGTTCATTTCACATTTTCTTATTTTGGGTGCTAGCTATTTTTACCATTTTTCCCCTAGATTTCCAATAAGTACTAACAATTTTTGTAAATTAATATTGCTTGCATTTTACTTTTCCCTTTAGCTAATAGAAATTCTAATGAAACTTTTGAAACAATCAATCTGTATTTTTTTTAAAACCATTACAAATCAATTTCATATGGTACTAGGCTTTATTCAATATAATATGTAAGAACATCTTTTATTTATAATTAGAAAATAAATTTTCCTATGTAGTGTTTTATAGAAATGTGAGTTAAATAAAAGAAGAATTGATACAAGGTGTGCAGCCAAACCACAACAAATTTACTCACATAATTCCCCCTTCCTGCTTTCACTGCAGCCATTTGATGGGAGCAGGACAGGCAAGACATTATTTTGCTCTAAGAGGATTAAACTGTGGTAACTACTGTGTAATCCGTTGCTCTGGTCAGTACTAACAGTTTGAGCAATAAGATTATCCATCTAACAAAACTTCAGAGCACTATATAAATGTAACACAATCCTACCAAAAACAACTTTCCATGATATATTTGGAATGTTGAATCTTTACCTTTGGGATCATGCCACTAGGGAGTCTATCCAACTCAGTTATCATTTAAAATTTTTCTTTAAATTTCTGCACCAGAGTAAATATTTTACATTAATTTCAGTAGACATGAGAGTAGAAAAGAATGTGTCTTTCCCTTTGATGTGCAGTTGGTAGCCCTAAAAGCCGTTTCATCTAGCCCTGAATTCCCAGTGCTGGGAGATGTGGTGCAATGGTACTTCTCAACAGATCTAATTGTCGAGATGAACACAGTGGCTTTATTTTTTGGGTTCCCATAGGGCCCAGCTCCTCCTGACAGTATATAATAACCCTATAGCTGCTGCAGATGGATGAACTTTCGATTATGTGCTCTAAAAATGCAGAAGCACTTAGGCAGAATCCACATCCATCAGTCATAACCATAGCCTCAGTCAGCAGTGGCAGACAGTATCAGGCTGGGAATAGAAATAATATAAAGATAGTGTTTTTGTTTTTTCCTCCTCTAACCTCATGGCTTAGGAAGCAAAGCATTTGTTTATAGACAGTACATTTTTCCTTCGTATGAGAATTAATAATTCTCCTAAAAGTGTTGGTTTTGGTAGGTCATTACTCTTTGTGAGAATTTTATGCAGTAGGCACTGTACTTTATGCTTCTGTGGTTTACCTTGTCTAATACAACGAACTTTGGAGGTGGGTATGATTTCTGTTTCACAGACAAGGAACCCAAAGCTCAGAGAATTTGAAGGGATTTAACCAAAGCCATTCCTGACTGGTAGAGCTGGGGTGCACACCCCACTCTTTGCCTCCAGAGCCCTTGTTCTTTTGAAGACAGCCTTTCAGTGCCTCTAAAATATCTGTTGATCTCATTACCCATTATCCTCCCTGTACTCTCTGTTCTTGCCAAACCAAGTAACTCATTGTTTAGTTTTATGATGTTTGAATAAAATTTCTTGACTAGCCATTGGATTTGTTTTCTCCCAGTCTTTATTTTTTTTAACTTTTTTTTTTTT